ACACTCTTAAGGGACACTCTTGTGAGACACTCTTGCGGGACACTGTTGCGGGACACTCTTGTGGGACACTCCTGTGGGACACTCATTTGGGACACTCTTGCGGGACACTCTTGTGGGACACTCGTGTGGGACACTCTTAAGGGACACTCTTGTGAGACACTCTTTCGGGACACTGTTGCGGGACACTCTTGTGGGACACTCCTGTGGGACACTCATTTGGGACACTCTTGTGGGACACTCTTGTGGGACACTCTTGTGGGACACTCTTGTGGGACACTCTTGTGGGACACTCTTATAGGTCACTCTTGTAGGAAACTCTTGTGGGATACTCTTGTAGGACACTCTTGTGGGACACTCTTGTAGGACACTCTTGTGGGACACTCTTGTAGGGCACTCTTGTGGGACACTCTTGTGGGACACTCTTATAGGACACTCTTGTGGGACACTCTTAACTCTTGTGAGACACTCTTGTGGGACACGGTTGCGGGGCACTCTTGTGGGACACTCTTGTGAGACACTCTTCTTGTACGACACTCTTGTGGGACACTCTTGTAGGAGACTCTCGTGGGACACTCTTACGGGACACTCTTGTTGCACACGACACTCTTGTGGGTCACTCTTATGGGACACTCTTGTCGGACACTCTTGTGGGACACACTTGTGGGACACTCTTGTGGGACACTCTTGTGGGACACTCATACGGGACACTCGTGTGGGACACTCTTGTCGGACACTCTTGTGGGAGACTCTTGTGGGACACTCTTGTGGGACACTCTTGTGGGACACTCTTGTGGGACACTCTTGTAGGAAACTCTTGTGGGACACTCTTGTAGGACACTCTTGTGGGACACTCTTGTAGGACACTCTTGTGGGACACTCCTGTAGGGCACACTCTTCGTACGAGACTTCCTCCAAAAGTCATGCTGCGAGGCTGCAAGACGAGCGTTTCGTACGAGACTTCCTCCAAAAGTCACGCGTCAAGTCTCAAAAACGAGCGTTTCGTACGAGACTTCCTCCAAAACTCACATGTCAAAGTCTGCCAAGGAGGATTTCGTACGAGACCTCCTCCAAAAGTCCAGCAGCAGCACCCATCAGAGCACACACATCACGCAGCCCTGCGAAGCAGTTTCGCGATTCCAGACCCTCCAAACGACACCCGCTCAAACGCCAATCCCAATGTGACAGCGAAATTCACCTCTACCACAACTCACAACCTCCCGATTCCCTGCACCGGCCACGCATCTTTCCGCGTCCAAACGTCTAACGCGCACAAAGTACTGCGCCTGTCACGAAATGTCACCTCCGACTCCGTCACACATCGCACGACGCTCTTGTAGGACACTCCTTGTGGGACACTCTCATAGGACACTCTTGTGGGTCACTCTTATGGGACACTCTTGTCGGACATTCTTGTGGGACACTCTTATAGGACACTCTTGTGGGTCACTCTTATGGGACACTCTTGTCGGACATTCTTGTGGGACACTCTTGTGAGACACTCTTGCAGGACACTCTTGTGGGGCACTCTTGTGGGACACTCTTGTAGGACATTCTTGTAGGACACTCTTGTGGGACAATTTTGTGGGACACTCTTGTGGGACACTCTGGTGTGACACTCTTGTAGGAAACTCTTGTGGGACACTCTTGTGGGACACTCTTGTGGGACACTCTTGTGGGAAACTCTTGTGGGACACTCTTGTAGGACACTCTTGTGGGACACTCTTATAGGACACTCTTGTGGGGCACTCTTGTGGGACACTCTTGTAGGACACACTTGTAGGACACTCTTGTGGGACGCTCTTGTGGGATGCTCTTGTGGGACACTCTTGTGGGACACTCTTGTAGGAAACTCTTATGGGACACTCTTGTAGGACACTCTTGTGGGACACTCTTATAGGACACTCTTGTGGGACACTCTTCTGGGACACTCTTGTAGGACCACTCTTGTGGGACACTCTTGTGGCTGTGGGACACTCTTGTAGGACACTCTTGTGGGACACTCTTGTGGCACACTAGAAGCAGTCCTGCGAGCGTTTCGTACGAGACGTCCTCCAAAAGTCACGCTTCGAGGCTGCGCAAGACGAGCGTTTCGTTCGAGACTTTCTCCAAAAGTCACGCGTCAAGTCTCCAAAACGATCGCTTCGTACGAGACTTCCTCCAAAAGTCACACGTCAAGTCTCCAAAACGAGCGTTTCGTACGAGACCTCCTCCAAAAGTCACGTGTCAAGTCTCCAAAACGAGCGTTTCGTACGAGACCTCCTCCAAAACTCACATGTCAAAGTCTGCAAAACGAGGATTTCGTACGAGACTTCCTCCAAAAGTCAAGCGGAAACACCCATCGGAGCACACACATCACGCAGCCCTGCCAAGCAGTTTCGCGAGTCCAGCCCCTCCAAACAATACCCGCTCACACGCCAATCCCAATGTGACAGCGACATTCACCTCTACCACAACTCACGACCTCACGATTCCCTGCGCCTGCCACGAATCTTTCCGCATCCACACGTCTAGCGCGCACAAAGTACTGCGCCTGTCACGAAATGTCACCTCCGACTCCGTCACACCTCGCAACCTCACGATTCCCTGCGCCTGCCACGAAAATCCCACTTCCACACCTCAAAAGTCCTGCGCCTGCCACGAAAAGTAACAATGTCATCTCACGTGAGCTTCAACAAAGTTTGCACCACACCACACGTTTGGAATGATTTCGACCCGTTCTGAGCACACTCCCATCCACCAAAATCGGCATTTCAGCTGAGACTTGTCACGAAAACAGAGCTTCGATGCCACACCCTGCAACGCAAATCCCAATGGCACGGCCACACCCAACACCCCAAAAACACGACTCTCCAAACGCTAATCCCAATGGAACTGCGCAGCAATCTGCAGATCTCACAAAACGCTGCGCCTGCGCAGCGAAACGCATCACGTTTCTTGCGTGACATCTCATTTTCATGCAAATCACAGTGGAATAGCGGCGCAAACTGACACGTGACACATCCATGAAAAGTCACTTGCAAAAGCTTCCCCCAATGGCAGCGCCTTAGCGCTCTACTGCGGACGGTTGCGAACGGTTGCGAACGGTTGCGGACGGTTGCGAACGGTTGCGGACGGTTGCGGACGGTTGCGGACGGTTGCAGACGGTTGCGAACATAGAAGCAACGGGTCGCGAACAAAGCTCTAGCCCCAGACCCCCAAGAGTTAAACGAGAACCCTTCGCTACGCATTCGGGAAAAACCAGAGGTCGAAAGGCTGTTCTGCTGGCATGGGTTAGTTAATCAAAAATGTTCAGTGCCTCTAAAGGACCGTGCAAAGAATACTTCATAGACAGTGGGAATTGTTGGATTTTTCCATTCACCTGATATGACAGGTTTTCAGTTTTGTCGATGTGACCTCGATCACCGAAATTAGGCAAGCGGCATAGTGAACAACTTTCCGTCATCAGCTGACATCTGTTACCTGCATGCGCGCAAACACACGAAGGTGGAAAAGGATGCCAACTGTGATTTCCTGTCCCAGTACTTGGCGATGTTTTGTGGGCACCTCCCTACGGCTGCCTACGCACCAGATGGTGGCCCCCGCACATATTCGATGCTTACCCATAAGAGTCGCAATCGCCGTTCACTCCAGAAGGTTTGGAAAACGAAATGCCAATTGCTCAAACAGTAACTTAGCCACATTCAGAAGTATGTACCTGCTAGCTCACACGTGGCCATAGATGTATGATCCCATAGTCCTGCACCGTTTGATCAGGTATGTCGAAGAACTGTGCGCTGCAAAGTTGGCCTCTGGCAATTGGAAGTATCACCCGGAATTCCCAGATCGAGAGGACCTCCATCTTTTTGAGCTTGACGCTAAATAAGTAGAATCCAAATTCAATATTGGAGATCCAGTCCTGTGTATCTCCCCAACAGGGCCTTACAAGGTCTACGACGAGGTTGAGATTGAGGAGAGCGAGGACGAGAAGGAAGATGGTGCGCAACACGAACACGAAGACCCTGCATCACTCAGGTGGTATATATCGTGCATGCAGTTCCCTAAAACCTGGCCAGAGTTTAATGCCAACCATTTCCGGCACAGGATTCGGATGGTGATTCTGGCGACGAAGAGGAAGATGGCCAAGAGGGACCGGATCTATGTCCTAACCCAAGCCATGAGACACAGCCCACTGGCAAACAAACTGAAACATCTACACTCTACACAGCCAACAATCTAGGATTCAAATATGATCGATATCCGATGATCAAATTAGTTTTTTGAGTCCCAGTGCAAACTCAATGCTTTGGTTTGACACGATTCTCCCACCTCCAACCTGCTATTGTTTTGTTGCACATGCATTTGGTTTCAACTCAGGCAGAAGAAGGCGACCAAGAAGCGGAAGCAAAACAAAGTGAAAGAGTTTGTCAAGGTCAAGGAAGCTCCCGCAAAGAAGAAAAAAAAGATGCTTATAATGTGGTCCCACGGTCATTCTGATGTATAAAATCATTTTAGAACATGTGGGTAGGCTCTCAAAAGGATTCCAAGTGTGCTTCTGGGAGATCCTACCAAGTTGACAGGACCCAAAAACAAAAGGTGAAATAGATTTATTTTCTGGTCCTGGTTCTCCGAACAATCCACAGCGTCAGGCCTTGACCACCATTGCCGAAGCGGGCACCTTATGGTGTGCGACATGTCAGCATAAACCTTTCTGGCTTGGGGGTGGAGGGTCAACCTCTGTTGGAAGTGTTCCAGCAAAGGTCTAACGGCCTTATATAGGCCGATCATTTGACTTCTCTTGGATTGGCATGATGGAACGGTTGCGAAGAGGCAAAGAGAGACCCTTATTACTTTCAGGGGCGGCTGCATTGGAGCTTGAGACTCGCCGCTATCTCCTGTTCTGATTCTCATCTGTCTCAACCTTCACCACCGCTTTACATGCCACACGGAAGAAAAACGAAAAGAATCGTCAACTGGGCATCCAAGCGATCTCACTGGCTTGCCCAGATTCCCAGGCTGTAAAATCATCCATACATATGGGGCCTGCAGATTGGGTCAAAATCGCCGTGTCCAAACCACTGGATATCACAAAAAAATCGTCCATTTCTCCGAATGATGTGTACCAAGGAACATCTGGCTTCACGTGTCAGGACCATCCAGATATGTCGCGCGGTTGGCATGCCAGTCTTTGAAGGACGGCACAAAGCAAATACATTCCGGAATAAGTATCAAAAGGTTCCGGTCAGCTGTGTAAATTATTACGGGCACGAAGGATTCAGAACAAAATGTCAGGGTTGTGGAGGATTGGCCTGAAGTGGTACATGTCAGGCGAAGCAAAAAGCTTCTACGTTCCTTTCAGCGATGAAGTGGTACGTTTTGTCCCGCTTGTGAAAGTGATGCGTTTCTACAGCCGAAAAGTGGCCTGAAAGTGGGCCACAACTCGCCACTAGTAGGCTAGGATGGACGCAGCAAAGCTCACGCTATTCATGCGGTTCCACACGAGTCTTGGGAAACTGGGCTTGAAGTTCTCCGCACTACACTTGACCACAAATCGCCACACTTCGCTGCCATCACCTCTGTGCACTTCACTACATCTGAAATCAACGCAACCTAAATGCATCTCATTTCAGCACATAAAGAATCACGCGTTCAATTGCGCTATATGACAAGTCAGCACATCGCACATCTTTACACACCAAATTAACAATTGACGCATTGCAGGACATCACAACATCGTACCACCTGCAACTGCAAAACAACACTTTCCGGAGCTTACCGTTCTTGAAGCTTCTGTCCACCGGCTGTACCAGACCTTATCAAACCGAACCCGACTCCGACACCCAAATGAACAGAAGTCATGCATGTGTATGAGATGTGCAACGCAGCCGGAGATGCCTTGACAATTTTGGTATTCGAGCAACTTGTGTGTTGAAGGGGCTAAGTGTTTGGCCTGTTCTTCACCAAGATCTGTGATGTCGCACCGACAGCTTGGGCATTCATGACCTTCAAAGAAATTTCAGAAAGGAAAATCGAGGATCCACTTTGTGGAAAAAGAAACGGCACCACACCACATTTGATTGTTATCAACTAAGATTCTTGGCCTCTTGTTTCACTGTCGTGCGCTGATAGCAAAATTCTAGCAACTTGTGCCCTTGACACCCAGGTAGGTGTTTCAGCACCGGCATAGGGCGCGAACGCTTCCCAAGCCATCCTTGGCCGGGAGTTGCAGGAACCGCTTGTGAGTTTGATCAGAGTCTTAGATCTCTCAAGCACTCACCTTTTAGCATCCTTTCAACCCTTTTAAAAGAAAGAAACGAATCCGATAACGTCCCCTTTAAATGAAAGGGGCCCTTATCTTCTTATTATGGGCCTTTTCTTTATTGCTTTTGGCATCATGCTTCCAAACCAGCACCCTATAAAGAACACTTTTGGGGATTGCCCCCATCTTCAATTTCTGAAAACCCATGAAGTCAAATGAATTGAAAAACTCCCACCAGACTTGCCTGAGATACATCCAACGTGAAATGTGTGAAAACAAGGGGTCAATACCTGCAGGAGTGTGGAGTTGCAGGGTCTCCGGCATTGGCAGCGGTTGTGGCCATGATCTTCAAATTTCTATATAGTACTTACTAGCTGGGATTAACTTCTTGCTCTCCAAACTCTAGCATTGGAGTTTGAGGCTCGCCGCTATCTCCTGTTCTGATTCTCATCTGTCTCAACCTTCACCACCGCTTTACATGCCACACGGAAGAAAAACGAAAAGAATCGTCAACTGGGCATCCAAGCGATCTCACTGGCTTGCCCAGATTCCCAGGCTGTAAAATCATCCATACATATGGGGCCTGCAGATTGGGTCAAAATCGCCGTGTCCAAACCACTGGATATCACAAAAAAATCGTCCATTTCTCCGAATGATGTGTACCAAGGAACATCTGGCTTCACGTGTCAGGACCATCCAGATATGTCGCGCGGTTGGCATGCCAGTCTTTGAAGGACGGCACAAAGCAAATACATTCCGGAATAAGAACATGATGCAGCCCTCCAAAACTCTGGCTTGATCAGAGCTGCTTTGCCGGAAGAGCCAAGGTGCAACTCTCTGGACGTTGCGTACCGCTGAAAAGGCCTGGGTGCTGGTCAGCTCACACTTCAGAAATGAGTTTAAAAATCATGCCGCTGTCGCTACATGGGCGTGTGTGAAAATAGGAAGTATTGTCCGATTCTGCGGGCGCCAGGACAAGAAATAGATTAGACTAGGCGGTGAGGGGATATTCCGTTTATGAGACATGCATCCCATATTCGTCGCAAGTCACTCACTTGACAAGCATATGAACCACACAGGATCAAAGCAGGTGGGCTCAATACTTATATAAATATAGACGCGAACCTTTTTTTGATCCAAAGAGGGCTTCAACACAGTCTCATGTACAAACTGTCATGCTAGTAATGATATATACAGTGACCGTGATCTCTATTGAAAATGTTTCACGCTCCTTCTTGGTAGCGTGAGCGATTGAATTGCTACTTTGAGCTCACTTTGCCACTGTAGCCCATTTCCTTCCATTCAATTTTTTCTCTGCAGACTTCTGCATTGCTCTAAGGAATGAGGCTCCTCGACATTCTTTACGCAGGGTCAATCTCTGGGTTGTCCCTTCTAGAGTCTGCTATTCCAAGCAACTGTTCATAGCGTTCTTGTTCTTTCTCAACTACATCTGCTAGGTCCTGTTGTCCTAGTCCTAGTAGGTTCCAATGTCTTTCACTCAGCTGCTCAATTTTCCTTGAAAGTCTACCACACATCTGTACTACCTGCACTCTCACATTTTCAGATCTGATTGATAGTTGCCTATTTCATGGTCTAAATATTCTATTCCATGGTCCTTCTGATGGATTGGCTCCCTGATTGGCTGCCTCTAGCATCACTCTATGTCCGTCATAGTATCCTTCTGTTGATTGCATATCTTCCAAGCTCCTTCTGGCTAAAGAAGTTGGCTGCATTCATGTCTCCCAATATATCATAACTGATTACGGTTTCAGTGTTTGGTGTTCTCTCTTCCCCTTGGGAAGCAACCCACTGTGAATTCTGAGTAGATCTATCTGATGTGTTTCATCTTCATTCTCTCTCATCATCCTCTCAAGCTCCACCATTTGGAATTCTGCTCCATCAACTCTATCACCAAGAGTGTTGAACATGCGCAAATTGTTTTCTTCAATCAGCTTCTCAACATACTTGTAGAGCTTCCACATTGCAAAAGTGACTGCTGCAAAACTAATGATCTTGATCACGACGACCACAATGATCAAATTTGTCCAGCTGCCATTGGATTCTCTTACTTCTTCCAATCCACACTGGTTGTGCTCTGCTATCATGAATGCTTCTGTAGCCATGGGCTGCAAGCCCTCGAACGCTACCATTCTCACAATGATGTGGGCATTTGTTGACATTTACTGCAAAGTTCTTCTTCTCTTCAACACCTTTCTCTCACGCTCTCCTACTCTTGCTTGATCTTCACTGTGCCACTACCCAATGAGGTTCATCAAGTATCTGGCTTTGCGTTGATGTCTGCCATGTTGCTATCTGTTGGCACTTGTACCACATTGAAGTCCTTCCTGTTCTGAACCCATAGCAACTTTCCATCCAAATGTCTCACTTTTCCAACTCCTCTCTTCATCACAAGTTGGCGCGCACTCGAAGAATCTGTGAAGATGAGATGTACTAGTCCACCTTTATCCCAAGAGCAAATTCAAGAGCTGAGCGAATGCAGATTCCATCTGACGCTGAAGAACTATTGCGCGCCACCCTGCCACACATGAAGATAGGCCAATGATCTTCTGCGTCCTGCTGCTATTGAAGAATGAAGAACTGCTCAATGCATGCAACCCTCCTGGCGTTGGCTTTCTGCAGCTTTTGTTTCCTGGAAACATTCTAGCTTTCTCCTTTCTTGGCATAGCCTTCTCCCGCGTGTGGAAACTCAACTACTAGACAAAAATCCATAGCCTTCTTCAAATATCCTAGGAACTTCTTCAAGTGATGAAATGACATAGCTTGGATTTGACATTCTTGAAGCCAATTCCTTCACTGCAAACGCTACATCATACCTCTCTTGACATAGCCAGATACCTGAGAATCTTCCCTCGCTCATGCAAGGCTTCTGGTTTATCTTCCATCTGGAGTGAGTTGTCTGGTGGTAGTTGCTGGAGTTTGACCTTTCCAATCTGCATTTCCTAGGCTTTCAACATCTGCTGGATGTAGTTACCCGGTTGGATCCATAGTCCACCTCTCTCTAGTTTGTACTTTCTCCTCCGGAAATTGAATGATTCACCAAGCTTCAATTGAATGGTTCACCTATCTTCTCAATTTTGCTCACACTGGTGTCAAACCTGTCGTGACAACCTGTCTTGAATGTTTGGAAGAAAGATTTCATTGGGTTACTTTGGGTCGCTGTGAAAACCTAGTCATCCACATGGATCAGAATGATGCTCTTCTCGTTTCTTCCCAGGCATGGACACTCAGCACTGAACTTGTAATTGAGTTCCTCGGCGAGGTACTGTGAAAAACTCAAACCATGCTTGCGCTCCAGCTCTCTGTCCAAGTATATTTCTCTTCACCAAGAGTTCTTCCCCTCTCAAGTTACACTTTCAATGGTTTCTCTTGTGGGACCTGCAAGAATGCGTCCTTCGCATCAAGACATCCTGACATCTGAGAAGATGTTCCTTCTCCCTCTCTTGCTTCTTCCTACTCTCTGCAAAAATATTGTGTTATGACTCAACATAGCTAGATAAGACAAGGGTGCTTATAACTTAAAAATAGAAATAAAAAAGTCCAAACTCACTTCAAAAGTCCAACCAAGACTCACCTTGCACCACGCAAGTCCAAGCAAAACTCAAAAGTTCAAGGCAAAGTCCAAGCAAAACTCAGGAAAGCTCAAGCGAACCTCAAGGAGCTAGGGAAACCAGGGAAGCGCCCGCTCAGCGAGTTTTGGGCAAGCTTTGCGCGAGCTTTTGACGAGCTCTGGTAGAAGAAAACTAGCCAAAAGCTCACATCGAAGCTCAAAAACTGAATGCGCACGAGCTTTTCACGAGCTTTCTGCGAGCTTAGCTCGAAATAAACTAGCACCGAACTCACCACGACGCTCACGCCACGGGAAACTACTTTTGCGCGAGCTTTGATTGGACTTTCGCTGAGTTTTGCTTGAACTTTTGAAAGATCAGCTGAATTTGCTTTGGACTTTCCTGTTGACTCTTGGGCTTCCATTGGACATCTGCACAGCGCAAGCGAGTTTTAAGCGAGTTTGAAAACGAGTTTTGGGCAAGCTTTAAGCGAGCTTAAGAGGCCCCTGTCTTATCTGCTATGTTGAGTCAGAAATATTGTGGGTAGAAGCTTCAGTACATGTCCTAAAGTCGCTGGTGGGAAATCGTCATCTCTCCTTCCTTCAGCGAAAGCGAATTCTCTTGCAACTAGTCTTGATCTTCTCTTCCACCGTGAACTTCCACCCCTTGGTTGTTGTTCCATCCTCATGGTGGTATGGCTTCTTTTCTGCAGTCATACACATTGCAAGTTGCCAGGTAGCTAGTTCCTTTTGCGCTACCTTCTGGTTTCCCTAGCGTTTGCATTTTCTGAAGTCTTTCTCTTCCACTTCATCAGCTACTCTGTCTATCCGTTCTTCTGGATCTCCTTCTGGTTCATATTCTCCATCACGCCATAAGCATTCTCATCTTCTTCTGGCTCATCCCCTCTTCTTCCCACTCTACTTCATCAACTTCCTCCGCAACTGGCCGCAACTGGGGATAGGTCTTTAACTACAAGGTAAAGATCCTCACCTGCAACTTTCACCAAGTTGATCTTGGCCTACTTGCTCGAGTCACCTGATGGCCTGAGCTTCTTCATTGGACTTTCTCCCAAAAGCAACTCCAATGCTTCCCTTGGCCTTGAAGGCGCTGATGGTGATCTCAATGAAGATAGTATAGGAGTAACTGGATTAGGCAGTCCTGCTGGCAATGATGTAGAGGGAAACGCCTTCATCTTCTCAAGCGTCTCCTCATCTGCAAAGAGAACATTCTGCTTCTTACTCGATGTCGCTACTCCACTTGGTTTCCTTTCACCTCCACCTCTTTTCATTGCTTCAACAAGGATTCGATTTCCAGCGGGGCTGGAATCACCATTTGTTCTGGGAATGGTGATTCTTCTTTCTCTGAAACACTTCCCCCTCCAAAAGCTTTCGCCGTGACTGCTTCTGCATCTTCATCCTTAAACTTCAACGTTGCACGCCCTCAAGGAATGTCTGCTTGCTCTGCTGGTAATGCCTCTGCTCTCCTCTTTGCGGCAGTGGTGCTGCCTCCAAAGTTGGTCTGATCTTCCCACGAAAAGGCATTGAAGCTTTTGTAGGCGAGTAAATATTTGGGCCAATCTTGATCTGTTCTCCTGATGCAATTGCTGAGCACTACCTGTACACCATCTGTAAGCACTAGGTGTCTTGCCTTTCAACTTTTCCCAAGAACAAGCATAAATTTCATCTTGCTTCTCCCTTGTTGGGGCTGTTGATATTCTGCTAAAAGTCCTTTGTAACTCTTGCCAGCTCATAGGGAGTGGCACCTTTGACTGGCTGAAAAACTATTCAGCGCCCAACTGGCATGTCTTGCTGCCCAAGTCCAAAGCGCATGATCTGATCACGATACCAAGTCTTGACTGCGCACCTTCAATGAAAGTTCCTGCTAGCTTTCTCACTTCGTCAACTGTGTTCCCTGACAGAAATGAATGATCTCCAAGCTTTGAGTTAACCAATCTGGTAGTGAGTCCTAGACTGTGGCGAGCATTGATCAACATTTTGAGGGTCTGTCTTGTGGGTTCATTGTCACTCCTGTCGGTGATTGCTGAATACCCCAACAACTGACTGAAGTTCATCAACTCTTGCGCAATAAGACGAAACTGGCTCTTGCTTCCCAATGGCACAACGTGAATGATCCAGTTTGGCTGTCACTTGCAACTACCCAACATACTTCTCTCGCCGACTTTGTTTCTGCTCTCTCGTGGCGATCTGGACGCGCTCGCTGCTCAATCCACTCCTTGCACCAATTGGCATATGGCATGTGTGTCAACCTTGCTTCATCTGGCATCTTTGCATCACTGTGGCCTAACACCTTTCTCGTCTCCTGAGCTTCTGCTTCACTTTTGGCATTCAACAGTTCCATCTTCTTGTTGTGATTGAGGCGCTTTGCGTTGGGGCCACTGCCTGAAATGCCGAGAAATGAGCACGCTGCCATCAGAGCTGCCAAAGGAGAAGCCTTAGCCACCTCTTTTCCATTTACCAAGACTTTGTCTACATCCACTGTAGTACACATTCAAGGTCTTCATCTTTCTTTTCTTCTTCTATTTGACCTTCTACCTCCTTCTCCGGTGGACTAGTGGTAGCCTTTTCGATTGCCTGCTCCACTTCTTACTTCCTCTGTTCTCTATTCTCAAGCTTCAAAGAATCCCATATCCTCTGGCGGCGCTGGCTCATAGCTGAAAATTGTGATTGAGGGAATGACTGCATCATCATCGAAGACTTGCTGCTCAAGTTCACCCTTTTTCATTGTGCTCTCACAATACCTGCTCTTTTCACCAAGGTAGCTCTCATCAGCTCTGGTGGCTCCTCCACTTCTGGAATGACTGTGAGATCCACAAATCTTGAAGTCAATAAGCTTCCAACTAGCAGCCCATGCCCATTGAACCTCCAACCTGATCCCTTTTCCAAAGCTTCAAGTACTTGCACCTCCAAAAAGTTTTCATCGTCATCTCGGATGACTCTAATGCGGCGTTGAACTGTCAAAGAGCGGTTTTGCAAGTTGAGTGGTACCTTCAAGTCACCATTCTCCCGCGTTTGCTCTTTGCTATTGATTCCCCAACCAGGTTCCATCAGTCTTCCAGAGCTTAGAACTGAAGATCACATTCTCTTTGAGAAGAACTTCACGACCATCACCTTTTGCACCCGGTGGGGGTACGATTCCCTGCACCTCATGTAGCTTGGTCTTTGCGCTGAATTCCAACTCTTCCTTCCCCAAAGAAAAATGCTACATCAGCCCCACTGTCAATAATGATGGCCACATCCTCATTCTCTTTCCCAAGTCTCCTCGCCATGGGTTCATCAGCTGAGATGTCAATCTCCTCAACTTCTTGGGTCTCTGGCTCATCATCATCATCATCATCTCCAATGTAGAAGCGAACTGCTCGAAATATATGATCTTCTAGCTCATCATCCCTTTCTCGCAAGTCAACGGTGGTTGGCTCACTGTTCTCAATCCTTCTGACCACTGGTTTGGTCTCTGCTCAGCTACTCTGCTGGCTCACATTGGCTTCTTGCTGACTAACTGTGTGAGTAGTCACTGATGCTCCTCCTGAAGATGAATGGGCTAAATCGCTTGCTACCTGTCGAATATTGTTCTTCCAACAGTCTTTAGCAAGATGACCTGGCTTTCCACAAGTGTAACATGTAGCCACACCTTTGCCTTGCTGGTCATTGCCTTTACCTTTGCCATTGTGATCACCTTCCTTTCCTTTGCCCTTGGCATCTTTACTTTTGCCCTTTTGATTGTCATTCTTGCCCTTCTTACCTTTTCTTTTCGCATCTTGGACTCGATCAATGTCCATTGGCATAGGTCCTGTACTGCTACTTGCCGCCATGGAAGTAGCCCGCTTCTGCTGAGAGCGATCCCATTGCCTCAAAGTTGAGTATTGAATATTGTCGCCAATTGACAAACTCAAGCAGGGTTTGAGTTGTCCACCTACACATCCCGCAAGAATAGCAGATTTCAACTCTTCCTGAATTGTCGTCCCTGACTTGACTGTCTCGTCAAATACCTCTTCAAGCTTCAAGAGCTGAGGTTGTAGCGCACTGTTCATTGAAATGCTGGCCATGTAGTGGCTGCTCCCAAAGGCGCCAAGCCCCTTGCCTTCAAGGTTTCAAAGCTTTCTTCAAACTCCTCCAGGCATCAAGCCCTTTGGAGTCCTCCACAGCTTTCACCAAGTGCGCCGCTCGTCTCATCAATGAAGCTAGCAATCCATGGAGCTTGATGCACCCGGCCTTCTCTGCCTCAGTTGCCAAGTCCATGTCAAATTTTCATTTGGCCTTTCATGAACTTCCTTCAAGTCCTTCATGTAGTCCTCATCAACTGCGCTCAAATAATTCTCAAAGACCCATGACCACTCTCTGAATGCCTTGATCTCTTCTTCTTGGACTTACAGTCAAAGATGTTGGGCTTTGCTATCAGCTTCAACTAATCTGTTGTTGATGACTTCTTGTCCTCAACTGCCTTCTTCACTGCCTCAGCTGCGATGTTGTTGCTTGCGTACTCAGTGCTATATGATTTCAAGGATGTCCTTGATCTCGTCCATCCTTCTTGTGTACAGATGTCCTTCTGACACAACAATTTCTCACCAGGCCAGCTGTTTGGGTTCCAAAGGCCCAAAATCTATGGCTCGAAATCGCACCCGCGTTCCCAGTGACCCAGTTCTTTTCCTTCTGGAGCTCAAATGGGGTTGCCCTTATTCCAGCTCCGCTACCATGCGAACCTTTTCTCATGTACAAACTGTCATGCTAGTAATGCTGTATACAGTGATCATGATCTCTATTGAAAATGCTTCGCCGAAAAATTTCTGTAGAGTGTCAGGTTCTGGGCACCCGAGTAGGTGACTCTTGGCAATTGCTCCTGAGCCGCGCACATGGTGGTCCCCTAGGATATTGATGTTTCATGATTTTTGGGGGGGATGTAGCCAACCCCGACGAAATAAAGGACTCCTGTAGTGATCTGCACTTGTAAAGATTAAACAGAAGCCAAGAGAAGTGAACAAGTTGAATCACACGATGTGTCTTTGTTCCAACAAACTGCTGCGTGAGCGTTTCCCCTAGAACCCGCACTATCAGTAGTTTGAGCATCTCCGAGCTTCACGCTCTCCTGAAGGGATCGTTGGTCATAGTTGTCCGAAGGAATCATGCAAAACCTGAAAAAGTTTTACAAGAAAAAGCCCTGAGGCATTGGAACCCTGGGCTTGACGCGTCAACTGCCATCTTCTTTATGATGCTGGAAGCTGTATCCCGTTTCATGCCAGCCTCTCTGGCTTGTCGACCTGTCTCTGGCTTAGTTCCTGCCCAAGGCAAGTGTGAGCCCAAAAGCCATCAGAAAACACCAAACCAGTCAGGCAATATTGATTGTTTTTGTCTATGTACATGAATCTAAGGATTTCTCTTACCAATTGCGAAGCAGCGGTACACAGTGAATCGTGTGCACCAAACGAAACTGTGAATTTAAGTAGAAATTCAAGATGAAACAAACCCAGACAAAGCATGGCCTATCTAGTGGTAGGATGATCTGACTGATGAACATCAAACAGCTGGAGGCTTAAGTCTGCACTTCAACTGCTTGACTCCAAGGCCGCTGCTCCAAGTCTAGCAGCCTGATCAGTAGCATCGAAGCATCCACATGAACAAGGATCAGTCAAAGAGCCAAAGTTGCAAAATAGAAGAAACTTGGGGTGTTTCAAAGGTTCCAACATGCTTCCGATTTTGTCCCGAGCGCTGTCTTCTGTTTTCTTGGGAGGGTCGAAATCTTATTCAATCCATTTCACCTCTGGAGGGTCTCTCCGGTCTCCGCCAAGTCGCTTGTTCGATCTGCACCTGGAGACCAGACTCCAGTGATGGGAATTCGTGATGAGGTGATGAGCGGTGAATATTTAGCTACCAATTAGCTTCCACAGCATGCTGCCGCCTGTCAGGAATTCTAGACTGGTGGCTTTCAAGGGCAAGCCAAAACTCTAGAAAACGGGTTTAATCATAGAACCTTAGAAAGACTTGCGAGCACTTGTCTGGATCTCTATCAAGGAATCTGACCTGCCACAGGGCGATACCCTGCCTGAAGTTTTCCAAGTATTCCCGAAAAATCGTTGACGTTGTTCAAGAAAACGGGCCAGGGGCGTAACACCCCAGGGGCTTTGAAGACTCCTCGCAGCTCGCAGGACTGTTGAACTGGAATCCTCTCAAGTAGCGATGGCCTCCAACCTACTAGCGATGGCCTCCAACCTACTAGCGATGGCCTCCAACAAGGTGACTATGTGATCTCTCAAGTATTACAGTATGCTGATAGTCTTTTCGGAGAAGGAGGCCCTGGGTGAGTCGTGTAGCCATTGCCACACTGATTCACACTAGTTGTTTCATCTCTCAACCTGACAGTACCGCCGCTTGTAAACTGGAACAAAGTTCAATGCGGCTTGGCGGCTTGGCCTCGTGTTCAAGATCATCCGCCTCTTCCTCCGATTTGCCTACCCGGTGGCATTTGCCGTCCATCAATCTTTATGTGTGGCCCCAATCGTGCAAGGACTCTGCTGTACCCCGTATCCCGGCAGCGATGAGTGCCATCGCAAGCTCTTTGAGTGGAATTGCTCATCTCATCTTCTCATGAGCTGAGACTTCTGAGCAAGAGAGTGAGGAAAAAGGAAAAGGAAAAGGCATGATGCGGCATGAAGGGCTATTGAGCAGCCACAGAGAGGAGTGTCCAAGAAGATAAGTCCGTCCAAAGCCTTCGCCTTCATCTTCGTATTCTTCAGGGGCTGAGTTCCGCCTTGCAGATCAAAAAAGGCACTCAAGGTGCAACGAGATACATGTCAAAGAAAAAAACGTTCTAACGATTTCAAATGAATCGGTACTTGAAGCCTCAAAGGGCACTGCCGACCCACTCTTTCCTTCTCAAGGAATGCAACACGAACAGCGAGAAACCGCCGAAACCGGCACCTGCGGGTGTCCAATACTCAGGGCCTCAAATCGGGGTGAAAACCCAGCAACGAACCCATCGTTATACACAAATCTACATGAGCCTGCATGAGTCTACATACCTATCGACCGGACACAATCTAAGCCTCCAAACCCATCGACAATAGCCTGGGTCACTTTGGGTGACCTGGAGCAAGCTTGTAAGAAGCACTGTGATTCAAGTTTTCTTTCTCCTTCTTTTAAGCCCGTTGCCTTCGCCTTACGTTGGGGCAGTGGACGCGGGATAGCTCACGCTTCTTCAAGGAAGCTCCCCCCATATGAGGGTGGGGGAGCTCCCTTTTTTTCTTTTCTCTCCAGCCGACGCAGGGGTCATGGCGACCAGTGGGCGTTCCGCACCAAAGGTCAGGTTCCAGCGGAATGCAACAAGCTCACATCAGTGAGTCAAAAAGCATGGACCATGAGTGAGGTGTGGCCTTAGCACCCTTCTCAAAAAAGCCCGACATAAACACTCAAGCGTAGGATTGTCAAGGAAGACTTCTGCACCGAAAAATGCCCCTTTGGGATGGGTCTTCCCATTACACTTATTCCCTTTGTCAAGGAGCAAAGGCGCTACCACAATGTACTTTTGTTTACAGAAAGAAATGGCAGCTCTGATTATGGTCGCATAGGCCTGCAGTGAGCAGAGGGTTCCCACAGCCAGCTCAAATCGCCAACCTTGCATAAATGCAAAAACAGCCAATTCAAACACGGAACACGCCAGCCCGTCACCGACCTTCCATCGCAGAGAGTTGGTGAACCGTAAGAAGGTCCGAAAGTTAGCTGCAGAAAGTGGTGGCTTATTACTGCCAGCCAGTGTGTCATCCTTGTAAACAGACCAGGTGTAGTGCTCGGCAACACTGTCCCATGCCCATCTGGGACAAAGTTGGCGCGGTGTAAGCCGTGCCGCTGGTGCAGTGGGGACCGCGGGAACGGCTGTCTGTGCATCGTCAGGCTTCTTGCAAGTCCTATTCAGCTTCGCCAGCCATAATTGCCGTGCAAAAACCTCTACCTCCTTAACACCAAGTTCAGCTTTGGCCTGGTTTGCCAAATTTTGAATGGTTTGCTTCGCATATTCATCTGCCTTCCGATTGAGCAAAATATCCCGTACAGTCGAACCAACAGCCACTGCATCTGCTTCAGTAATATGCGCAGCAGGGATATGCTCAAGGAGGTGTGCAGGACACCATACCAGTTGTAAGGGAACAGAGCAATGTCCCCGACGGCGATGGATAAGGGTCAGCAAAAAATCCCCACCACTGGGCGTGTGTCCATTCCAGCTGAAGGCAGTCCAAACGAAGAAGTTCAGTGAACTGGTTGACAATGGTCAAGGAATCTGTATGTATCACCATGGGGCACGGTGCAGCCGCAAAGGCTTCAAGCACAGCCCAGAGCTCTGCACTATAACTGGAAAGCCTCCAATGCTTGACACGGCCTGCAGCCAAAAGTGAAGAGTCCTCGGCCACCACAGCAGACAGCTGCACAGAACCATCAGTCCATACGTGGCAATACTGTTCATCATGGGTATTCCATTCACAAACCCGAAGGTCAGAGACATTTGAAACCTGCAGTTTGCATCTGATCTGTTCAACCGGCATCTCAACAACCCCGAGCATCCGGAAGTTCGGTCCAAAGTAGTACTTGGATTCTGGTTGCTGTAGTTCGGTCGGCAAATTGGGACAACCGTCAACAAAGTGCTGGAGCGACTCCTTGTCGTTCTTGCAGTATCTGCATTGAGCAGAGTCAACCAAGCCCGAAGCAGCTAGTCGATCAGAGGTAAGCGTGCAACCAGTAAGGGCACTCTCCCAGTGACAAATGAAGGAAAGCCCCTGATTCGGGATTGCTGCAATCTTCCTCTTGGCAGAGAGTGTCAGAGCCAAATCAAGAAAACCAGCAGCTTTCTGAATGTCTTTACGAGGCATCAGGCATGCGGTCTGATAACACTTGTTAGCCGCGAGGCTCTTGAGTATACACTTCAGATCTTTGACCGAAAATTCAAGGAAGTCCACAGCAGGTGCTGAAAAAATGGAAAGTCCGAACGGGCTACTCCACTCTACATCCAAGATATGGCACGCTTGGGCAAACTGAGTCATCCAAGATTGTGGTGCCATCTGATTAGGCTCATAAATGGCTTGCCATCGTTGTCTAGCAAAGGCTGAACCCTGAAGGAATTTCGCAGATTCCATGATTGTTGCAACAGCACGGAACAGGAAAGGATCCAACTTGTGAGCCTTGTGAATGACACAAAGGAGCAGGTGTTTGGACCGCCACTTCGGTCTGTCCTGCCAAATTGCGTCGGCCACTGCACACTGAAGGCGTGCCAACAGCCTCTTTGGAATGAAGTTCAGCTGGGGGGCAAAGGCTCTCTGTGGCAGCACTTTTGTGGCAAGGATATGTGCACGTTTATCACTGTCACACGGCAATGAACGTATGGACTCACAGCCCCGCTAAGCTGCTTGGACCTTTGTACCTGGGAAGCTTCCTACGTGCTTCTTCGTAGTCTGGATGAAAGCCCCCAGTATGTTTACCACCTCGACAAGCTTCATCTGTGGGAACTCCTTCTTCAAAGCCTGACGAAGAGCACGCGTAGTGGCAAAGATTTCACATTTGCTGGTATTGAGAAACTGGCCACAAAGTTGGTCCCAAAGTTCTGTAGCTTGGACTGCTGCCACAAGCTTGTCCACAGTGGCCAATCTCGTCCAAAGATAGGTGTCGTCAATGAAGGCACGGAAGTTGACCCCATCAATGTTAGAAATAATCCATGCCCAGACGGCCATGTGAATGTTGATGCATAGCAGGCTAAGCGAACAGCCCTGCGCAACACCATTCGCCGTAGAGATAGGTTGGGCACGTGTCCACTGTTTAAACGAAAGGAACCTCGTCATACAAGTATAGAGACCCAGGAACCCACAAACCAGTCCTTTTGGCAGCCCGAGGCCCAACATAAGCGCTCCACATAACTTGGGGCATGCGCCGGTCAAAGCACTTAGTCTTATCCAGCTTGAGGCCAGCAAAGGTGCCATTGAAACTATGCGCAGAATCGATCTCAACCTGTATGTTCATGTGCACTTCTGACATCTGTCTGCCTTTAATGCCTCCCTTCAATTGTATGGGCATGACATCCCGCTGCCACTGCTGTAACTGAAGGAACCCCAGGCCTGTATACAACAGCGTAAAGACCGACTGGAGGGAGAT